TCGAAGCATTCTCATACATCGTCTTATAAACGGCTAAAATTGTAACGTAATCGCCAACAGCATAATGTCACGTATTAATCGTATACAACGTCTGGGCCGCCTGTGCTGTACTTTAACAGTTTAGAGATCCCGTGTACAATGGGGACTTTGTCCTTCGCTTTTCTTTTACTTTACACAGCCCGTTCTGAGGAAATTAAAAAAAAATCTAAATATCACAAACATTTTTCTAAATATCTCGAAAAACCCTTAGAAAAAACCCTCTCACCTCACCTATCTTCTTCGCGCTCTGTTGCGCATAAAGCCGCACGGTTTCCGTAATATGAGGTGTTTTACAGGGAAGGGTTATTGGCCCTTCGCCCAACCCTCAACCTGGAGGGCCAGGTGCGGCAGTTCGTCTGACCTTTCACTTTCAGAAAAAACCCTCTAAATATCTCTTATTTCTGTTTAAAAAACAAACCGATTTTGAATCATTAAGATTAAAATTTTCAAACACTTCGATGCATCAGCATCCCCTCCCCCCTAGGAAATTTCTGCAACCGGTTGTTGTTGTTGTTGTTGTTTTTTACCTGATGCAGAACTTTGCCATTTTATCCTCCTTTTTTCGTAAACTTTCAAAACTTCTTAGAAATATTTCCACATTTCCGTAGTATTAACCGAAAAATAGCTAAACGAGCAGCTAGCTCAACCGAATTCGTAACGGTAGATTGTAGACACGTGACTACTGTGCAAATTATCTCTTCGAGGGAGCCATATTTATTATTTATTATTGGCAAATTAGTTGGACATCTTGAAAGATTAGAAAAAGTCATCAGGTTTAGGAACATGTATTACGTGACGTTGCGCTTTTGTTGCTGCGATAAAAGAAAGAGTTGCCAATTTTTGTTCAGATCAGGTGGTTAACACTTCACCACGTACAGGCCCTGAAGTGCGTTCATAAACAAGTGAATACACTCTAATTGCAAGGTCAACAGACTAAACGGGGAGAGTCAGAAAGTCACATTTTAGGAGCGCAAAGTTATAATTAACTAATAAGACCTCTTCCCGTAATCATGATGACAATATAGCAGAATGTTCCTCGATCGACTGCTCCCATTGAACTGGAACTGCGAAGCATGACGTTTGCGCAAAACGAACTTATTGTTCAGTTTATTCAGTGCTCTTTGGTTGGAATGGTTGAAAAACACGCAAACTAAAACACAGCGTTAAATAAGTATTTGCGGTTTTACTTATACGAGACAATAGTCAATTTTCCTCGTCCAAGATGCAGTGAGTATTCATTTATCCTCAAATGAACATAAAAGTCATACGGTTTAGGAACAGGTGTTAAGTGGCGTGCCTCTATCTCTGGTCGGTTACGTTGACTCGTAACACCGTTGTTTCGATAGTATGCAAATATGGTCAAATATTGTTTTCATTATGCGTTGATTGAATACACTTGGTTGACTACATCCCAAATGATTGATAGGAGACGTCACACTGTTATCAAAAGTTAACCGCTGAAGCTTTCGTCAAACCAAGTCAATCAAACCCTGTTAAAAGCTCAACATTAATACTTCATGCGTATTTGTTCTTTCTAAATTTAGTAACGGCTTAACTAGACCCTAGCTAGAGTGTAATCAGTTTTGAAATTTGTGACAGAAGTAAAACAGTTCTGTTAACTAGGAGTAACAAAGTTTTAACCTCATAACCTGGATTTCACTTTATTCATTTAGCAGACGCGTCGATTGTATTTAGTGTACAATTAGTACAAGTGAACAGACCAGAAAACCTACTGGAATGCCGCCTCTGTACATCCATCGGTTCTCATTTTTAAAGCTATAACAATGTAACAAATCTATAGCCATTATTGACGAAATATTTTGAATAAAAAAAAAACACATTGTTAGTTTGTTTCTTTTCTTTTATTTTGTTCTTCAGTGAATGAACTATCGTCACCCGCACAGAACTTTCAATAACTGAAAGCGTTCTTTGACTACAAACCTGTGCCTACTTTGCTAAGTTTAATAAGCTATATCAGAAGAGATGTAAATTATAGCCGAACACTGAATAGGTTTAACTGGCAGAACTGGTCGACCCGCACAGGAGGACACGCTGGTTTCAGTTCTCAACCACTAATTTTTAAGAAAAAAAAAAAGAGTTTTAAGTCTATTTTCTTTTCGTTGAACAACTCTCTAAAATTCAATTGCATACGTACTTTCCATCGCAGCCATTTGTAAATCTAAATGCTGTATATTAAGTAAAAAGGCAAATAAACAGAATGAATGAATGAATGAACGAACGAACGAACGAACGAACGAACGAACGAACGAACGAATGGATGGATGGATGAATGAATAAATGAATGAAGTGCAATTTCCCTTGAAAGACTACGGTCTAATTATAAAAGTGCTAGGTTACTTTCAAGATGGATTGCTCCCAAGGAAGACCAGCCAAGCATGGTGCTTGATCTGAATTATTTAGGCCCTTTAGATCTAGTGTTGGAACTCCTTGATTGGAGACAAGATAATCAAGCGGGTTTCCATTTTAGTGAGCTCAATCAGTTTCCTAGTCTGTTACCGATCGTGTTCACTTATCTACAAATCACTCATTCAGGGTCGGCCATAGGGGTTATTTGGTATACCAATATATCTGAAAAGAAAAACCCATTGTACCCAAAATTTTCCCTCAAATTAATTCTTGCAAAATACCAAAATTTGGAAAAACATGGTATTCTTTTCACCCATGAAAGGTCCAATTTTGGCGTCAAAATACGGTATACTCAATTTATGATCCTCCCTGTATATCGTATACCTAAAAGCCCTGGCTGAACCTGATCACTGAAAGTCAGCTGCTATATGTTTTGAATCTCCGCAGGCGCAATGGCCGGGCACGATGAAGCGTAACATCCTTGAAAGCACGTATCTAGATGTTAAAAGTACTTGCTTCTCATTTTAACCTAAGTACTTCGTCTGTACTTCTATGACTTCTATAGTTTACAGTTCCCGCGCTTAATGGGGCCCTTTCCCTTCTCCCTTTCTTTTCCCTTAATCCCGTTCTGGGGTGGCAGATTTCTGTTCTCTGTGGTCTCAGTTTCAGCTGGTTAGAATTTCAACTATATTCGCCGTATAGGCCCCAAGGTGCGTTTATGCATAACCAGTTAAGCGAGTGCACTCTCAAGTTCTACAGACTCTTCGAGAAGGTCATTAAAAAACGTCATATATCCTAAGAGCACAGTGGACTTTATTGCTTAATGTGACAGCTATCGGCCCGACAGTACTATCAGAGATAAGATCTCTTTTTATTATTATCTTGACAGTACATCTTTTTATAATTTAAATTACATTCTAATAGAGCGGGAATCTTAAAGAATTATTTCCTTGATCGACTGCTCCCATTGAGGAACTGCCAAGCATGACGTTTGCGTAGACGTATCGTCTTTTTATAAATAGCGTCTGTTCTTTAGAAGCAAATAATTTGTCTAGTAGCTTTATTGAAAAACGCACTAAAGGCTGTACAATTCCCACCCATACTCCATTTTGAGATCAGAAAGTAGCTATAACGGTTCGCAAACTGTAAGACAAATATTGAAAAAAGACCACCTCTTTCCCACAGAGTTTGAACCTTGTTATTTGATTTATTCGTCCATTACATATAGTTGATAGAGGCTAATGGTTATGAAACCCGTCAAAGTCCTTTGTTGTATGTTTTTGTCCGCTTTTTTGGCCTTGACCGAAAACACAGTTGAATTGCACTTCAACTAAAATCATCAAACAGGCCCTGAGGCGTGTTGATTAAACATAAACAAGCAAATACACTCAATTTCAACGAAGTTAGCTATAGGAACTGGGAAAAGTCAATAAAGAAAGCCATTATTTACTGAAGAGCCCTTCAAACACCGCTTGTTTCACGACTCAGGCTTATGAAGAGCTATTTCCATCGCGGCCATTCGCAAAACAGTTTCAGTTAGCAATTTACCCCTGAAGAATGTTCAAAGTGCAAGATTCCTTGCTCGATTGACTGCATTCAAGGATTACCTGCCAAGCGTGTCGTTTGATGTGAGTTAATTATTTGTTGAAACGTGATGGGAGACATGCAAATTGAACATGTTGTTCAAGATAATTAACCGCGTTCTCTATATTAGAGACTTCAAGCACTCTCCTCGTCCAAGTTACCTTTCGCGTTCTCTTATCGACAAATCAAATCACTGAAAGTCAGCGGGCAACTCTAAAACGTGGAATCCTAGAATCCGGAATCCGGAATCCGGTCGGCGTAGGAGAAATCACAACTAGCAGGGCTTGACCTTTCTGCTGCATAGTACTTTAACGATATTCAGCGCACAGGCCCTAAGATGTCCCATTAATCATAACCAAACGAGTGCATTCTCAAATTCTTAACAAGGCTAAACGAGAAAAGTCGTTTTAAAAACGAACACATCATTAAAATAATTGGTTAAAATTGTGACAGCTATCGGCGCGACATATCCCAGATAAAATCTCATTATCTTGAAAGTGCATCAGTCTGTTTATAAATTAAATTAATAATATAGCGGGAATCTTTGGAATCTTTCGTCGATCGGTTGCTCCCATTGAGGAACTGCCAAGCATGACGTTTGCGTAGGCGAACCTGTTATTTCGTTCAATACCCTTTTGTTCGAACAGGCCCCACGGTGCGTTCATTAGACACAAACAAGCCAGTACTCGTTCAGGTTCAATAAATAGATTGGTAATAGCCATCGACACAGCTTTTTATCAGACATAAGATCTCTACCCGTAATTATCTTGAAATTGTTTATAGATCGAACAACACAACGGAATCTTGCGAGTTCTTTCCTCGATCGACTGCTCCTATTGAGGAACTGCCAAGCATGACGTTTGCGCGCCAACGAAATTATTGTTTCTATTCACAACGTATTCAGAGCTCTATTGTTGTAAAACGATTGAAAAACATGCAAACTGAAACAGCATTAAGATACTTATTTTATTTTCAGTTTATAGATATAAGTCAGATGTTATGTTTCGTGTTCTAATCACTTGCCTGGTAAGCTGAAGAGTAACATCGTTAGTAGAAAGTATGGAAATAGTAAATATAAAATTGTTATTTTGATTGAGCCCAACTGTATCCCGAATCATTGCCAGGGGGCGATTCTTAAACCATTGATCGTGAGGTCACAGGTTTATCAAAACCCAGCTAATAGATGCAACGTTCTTTATAACCGGTAGACAAGGGCGCTGGTTTTCATTCAGGGTTTGAGTGTGGAAGGTGCGAGACGAAGATTTCTCGTCAAGGTAAGCAAATGCTTGTAAAAGTTTCAAACATCTTTTTAGTTTAATATTAGCCAATAAGCTCTGAGCTTACTTTCCGGAGACCGGTTTCTATGATACATATGATTCTGTGTCGAAAGCAGGTTTTCTAATTCCAAAACCATTACGAAGGGCCAAAGGATTTTCAGACTGCGAAGTACCGCGCTTTTAACGTAACATCGCCGAGAAAGATCGTCATCACAGATGGTATGAAACCGACGGCGTTAAACAAATTAAAGTTCACAGAACATTTATTTATCTATACAACCGGCCTCGTCCAATTTCATGTTATTACGAATCCTCACTCGTAGACTGGACTCGAAACAGCGGTGCAAATCGAGCCTAGTAATAGAAATCTGTATTAGTATACTAATGTAAAGCTGCAATCTGATTGGTCGAACTACGGCACACTATCAGCCATTAGTGTGTAGTAGATGTAGATAGTCAACGAATTAGCGACGTTTTTTCGCTTTTCCGAAGCTCACTCGGAGGAACAGTGAGAAGCAAGTAGATAAATAAGTTCCAGAGAAGACTAAAAGAGGGACGTGACATTGATGGTTTCTCAAGCGTGAAGTCTTAAAAACTGACTGGAAGGAAATTTTAGTTAGATCGGTATAGAGATCGAGACGTATAATATAAATTTCAAGTATAGTGCTTGACGCCGTTTGCTCCACTAGGAGCCTAAAGGAAGTCAAAAAGTATAGCGTGTATAAACGTCAGACGTTTTAAAGACAAACAGCGGATTCATGCATGTTTTCGGCCAAAGTTTAGCGACCATATGTATACATATATAATACATGCAGGTATTCTACTCATAATTCTTCGCATGTATTACATGTACAACTGGCCTACCAATGAGTTTCAGTCTATACATGCCACACTGATCATTCCTTGACTTTGTTTTTCAGCTTTAAATTAAGCCGGTCACTCTTGCCTGCCTGTTGTCGTACATCGAGACTGAAAGCAAGATGAAACTTTACATCACGGTTCTGATCGCAGCAGCTGTTTTGTTGACCATGTTAGATATTGGGTGAGTGGATACGAACGACAGAACTACTAAGAATGACAGCGGGACATTTTTGAATGACTGCATGCCACCTGACCATAAGATTTATGATTTTTCGTTGAAAACTTCCACCAGAATGCTCCAAGCAAATAAATCGTCATTTAAATTTGATATGGAGAAGCGCGGCCAAAACTGCTTTAAAACATCCCAGGGATGATGGGGGATAACGGGGGGGAGGAAGGGGGTGTAAATATTGAGTGATCAACATAGGATTTCTGATCAGAATTTCATTTAAAAGTCAGGCGTTTAGATTAGCACAATGAAGTGGCTTGGGAACATCAGTCAGAACTATAGAGGTATTCATAGAGGGCACTAGTGAGAATCGTTATATTGATATCAGATGATGTTTTCTTTTTCAGTGAGTCAGGCTATGGCTATCATGGGTATGGATATGGCGGCTATCGTAATCGTTATAGGTACCGTTATGGTTATGGCAAAAGAGGTATGAAGAAGATAGCCAGTCGCCAGCGAATCAATGACGTCCACGCGGAGTTAAACGACGACGCAAAAGTAGAGCATCTCAAAGAAAACCTCGCGGAAGTCAAGCGTAACCCCTGAAGGCCCAGTTAATAGCTACACATTTTTGTGAATTTGGTGCCCTTTCCAAGTTTAGTTGTGGTTTAGATCCTAGCAAGAGAGTAATGTTACAAAAATAAAAATAAGACAGTCTAGTGTTTCAATTTTTAGTTCAAAGCACAACAATGTAAAGAAACAATAGGCGGTCTAACACCAAGAAAATATTTCATTGGAAATAAAGCACAGTGTTGGTTGACTCTAGTCCTGATCAATGCAATCCTCCCCGAGGGAGGGCTCCCATGTAAAATGGTCGGGGAAGCCCCTAAGGGAGACTAACCTGGGCCTGGCATGAGCTTTATTGACCCCTAAAAGATCGCAGTTTATTATTATTTCATCGAAAGCAAACCTAAAAGATACCTTGACGACTAAAAAATAGGTACTCTTCGTCCTGTACGCCATAAGTGGGACCAAAATCCGCGATTTACATCCGAAAACGAGACAAGAAGCATCCCTTACCTTATCATATAAGAGTTTCCTCCGCGTGCCCTCATCTGTCTTCCGGGTTATAGTTTTCCAATTTACCATCGTCACCCTACAGCTCTTAAAGTACGTTCTTTGCATACAAGCAAGCGCGTAGCTATAGTTTCCTAAATTCAATAAGCCATTAGAGAAAGGATACACAGGAAATCAATCATTGTCTAAGCACAATAGGAAAAGCTGTTTAAAATATCATGACAGCAAGAGAGACTAGGATCAAAGTGTAGTCCTGCATAAGAGACAGCTAGTAATGAAAATCACAGCATCGCAGCATTGCAAATTATTACAAAATCAGGACCTCGCCAGACATCCATGTTTCAATATTCAGGCTTACAAATTTATTGTAATTTCATTCCTGCATTTATTAGACACAAAACATTATCCAATAGCAACCAATAAAGTTTCTCCAGCAAACCACCGTTCAAAGCGAGCCTTAGGGCCATTATCTTGAGAGAACCCTAAGAAAGCCCAAACCTAGCAGAGTATTTCCTCGATTGACTGCTCCCATTGAGGAACTACCAAGCATGACGTTTGCACAACAGTAAAGATATTGGTCTTGTGCTTCTTTGTTGGAACGGAATGGCAGACACGCAAACTGAAACATGCTGTTCAAGGTACTACCGTAAACTTCCGAAAGTAACGACCCCCCGAAAGTAACGTCAGAAAATTGTGGCCGCTGATAAATCCCGAAAGTAGCAACCCCTCCAAAAGTAGCGAGTCCACCCCAACCCCCTCTCCGAAAATAGTGAAACCAAGCATGCTAAGGTTCGTTAGTTAATTTTTACGATATCTGCAGAAATTCTCGCGCGTTCGTTGGTTAATGTTAATTGTCAATAAGCGACAGACACACGAATTTACAATTTATGCGATGCGTCAACGAGCGAGAGCGGACAATTTGACAATTTGTTGTCGTAAAAAACAAATTGATGTCAGTTTTTTATGCGTCTGTCCTATTATTGACAATGAATTTCGTCGTAACATTGTTAAAGTAATATGCGGTCCACTCTACAATGTTATAACGAAAATCATGATCAATAACAGGACAGACGCATGAAAAACTGACGTCAGTTTGTTAAAATGATATTTTTCCAATCAAAAGTCAAGTGAAAGTTAGGCGTACCATAAACTGATTTAAACGTTGTGAAATGTCAATTCGTGCACTTGTTAAAACAAACCCCTATAATTTTCCTCAAGTTACAGGAACATACTTAATTACAAATTAATATCATTTTTAACTGAAGCATATTACACCTGAGGAACGTTTCTTCAAATTTAAAATGAAAACTCGACTAGCGCACTAAGATATCACAACAAACTAACATAGCGGTGCGTCCTGACGTAGAAACAGTTTAGGGATCTGACAAGCTTTCCTGCCGACCACTAACAACGCGATCTAGACATGAAGAGCCCAGCCATACGTCAGCAACATAGATTTAAACTGAAACGAAGAATTGTATCGTTTTTAAGAACTGTTTTTACATATGTTCGTTTTTTTTATTTCGTAAAAGGAGTTCATTCGTACCAACTTCAATTTACATGACGTTTTTTGCTCCCCGAAAGTAGCGAACCCTCGAAAGTAACGCCGTGTCCCCCGCATGTAGGCTGCTAATTCCGAAAGTAACGAGGGTTGTCACTTTCGGAAGTTTACTGTAATTCTAATCATTTCCTTCGTCTAAATCAACGTAAACAATCATTTATCGTCATCCGACAGACAGCCGTTCATGCTACGTGCCCTAATCTCTGGCAAGATACGTTGAAGGGTGACATTCTTGACAGAAAGTATGGAAATATTAAAATTGCTTAAGTGTCTAAGCACAAATATTAGGAAATATTAAAATTGCTCCTTAAGTGCTTTGTCCCGTAGAGAAAAAAAAACAACTCAACTTATTGAACTCGGTTATCGCAAAATATTGTGATTTGTCGGTGTCTTACCAGTCTTACAGATCAATTATTTGCCTTACCTTAGTCGCGGATTCGGCAAACAATTGATCTGCTCGTCACTAAACTGAAGTCAGGAAATTTAGCTCAACCCCGTCCAAAAACTGTTACGTCCTTTATTCTTACTTACTTTCCTTTATTCTAGCTAAAAATTATAATAATGAAATAAAAGTAGTATGATGGTGATCTAAATAAACACAAATGAACGAGGCAAATTGCATAGGAACGAGCACACACTGAAGTAGGTAGTAGACTTCATTGGTGTTTAGTCGTCAGAAAAAGCTAGGGAAAGTTCATTCATTTCAATCTTATCACATCCACCTAATACATAATGTAACGTGTGGACAGTTCAGACTTGAGCCGCTTCCGACGTTCTTCTAAAAGCAATTGCTGTTGCCAAGGCGTGAAACGTGATGCATTTGTAAACTGGGCAGTGAAGGAAAAAAGTTAAACAAGAGCGGAAAACTTAGAACACCAATGTCACTTGCTCTGAAATTTAATACGTCCATACATTTAGAGAAAACCACGACGCTCTTAACATGCTTAAGTTTAACAAACATGTTTCGGCAGACGGATGCTTCCGCCATCTTCAGTGAACATAGTTTGCTGTAGAATGTAACTGAGTGAAAAAGTACAACACCAATAGCAGTTATTAGACAATTGCAATAGCAATACAAAAATTAAACAGTGGGTTGCAGACAAGTGTTGGTATCTCCCAAAGTGTGTGTAACACTTCCATGATCTTGAAAGCAAACTGCGAGGAGGCCTAATGGCAAAATCGTCATGGGAGCAAACAAAGCGACATACTCTTGAGAACGTTTATAGTACGATTTTTAATGAGTTTTTATAAGTTATCTCCTCCTTTCAAGGTCAGGGGTGCTGGAGGAAACAATTCATTTTTTTCTCAACACAGTAGGAACAATCAACAAGGCAAAGTCAGAGATTTATTATTACTCTCAGTTTTCTTACGCGTCTAAAGTTATTCATTTAGTTAAAAGTTGTGATTATACGTATGCAAGGGGAAATGACATCCCTTCTTTTCACTTAACGCGGGAATATGATTAACAGTGACAGCCGGAGTAATATCATACGAGGCAACATGTCAAACAAAGTAAAGAAAAACCTTGCCATCACACAATAAATGTGATTGATTATTAGCTTCATAGCACGTTAGGTGATACGTCTTTGACTGAGTTGTTGGCTGAACTTCCGCTGGAGTTTTTCTACCTATACCTCGGGTAAGTTACTTTTACGGAATCATACTTCTCAGATTTTACGACTTGCTGGACCATGACTGTGACTTATTCAGTGATAGAAAACCAAATCTGGATCAGCACTGCATTCTTGTAAAGGTGGCTAGTACCCGGGGGGTACTCCCAGAAACCCTATTTATGACCTGACCCTTAAATCAAAACCCTGTTTCAGACCTGCGTTATAATTAGTTCCCTAGTTCAGACCAATGTTAAATTACCGTAAACATAATTTGTGAAGGGATTTTGTTGATTTTCTTTGCAATAATGATGAAAATGTGGCTTCTTCTTAAAAACATAGCCATATCAATGCTAGAGTGCAAAATCCATACCCTGTTTGTGACCAAAATGGCCAAAATCAGCTAAAATCGATACCCTATTTATGACCAAAACGGCTGAAAAACCATACCCTTTGGGGCCGCACATACCTATATATCCCACATAAGGGAGTACCCCCCACCGGAGAGCTAGTATCAGTTGAACGCAAGCGTCATTCGCATTTAGTTGCCACATAACAACACAAGTAAAATTCCTGTGACCAATTGACACGAAACGAGAGGCGAGCGTTCAAAACCTTTTGATCTAGTCTACTGCATAACGAATACAAGTAGACTCGTCTATGTGTATAGCTGCGTTTGAATCGTCAGGTCGTTCGATTTATTTACCACAAAAATGGAAACATTATCTGCAAATAAAGGTGTAAAACTGGTTATGATACGAATATATTCTAAACAAATTGAAACAGAGGCCTGATCTGTTCTCCTCTAATTTCGATTAGGAAATATTATACTGCTGTAGTATTAAATGCTGATTGCTTTGTCAGTATTGACGTTATTTTCGTTTCGTGTCTTCAAAGCCCAAAGAATGGAGTCTATGGGCTTTGAAGACACGAAATGTCAAATGAAAAATGATATGTGAATCTCGGAGAAACTGTAAAAAGTGATGTTTCGTACGTGTCACAAACCAGAAAGAATAATATCTCATGCAAACGTTTTCGCCTTGTTATCGTCAGATTTTAGATCGGCTGTAGGTATATAAGAGAAAGTCAAGTAGATTCAGTTTGAAAACCAGTAGTTTTTTTGCTCAGTTTGTTTCTTTTAACTGATGTGACACTGACTAAATGTCAATCGTATGTTAATTCTTTGCAAGTAGATTAAAGTTGCTTGAGTGAAGACGCCATCTTCAGCTGATATTACCACTTCACGAATAACTAAGGTAGAAACACAAACGATTCACTAATCACAACATTATCAACAAATACTTGGGCGCTTTCCATTCAAAAATTCCGAAAGTTTCGAAACGGCGACTAATGTTAGAGAAATGTCCTAGAAAGGTTTCCAGAAAATCAGGAAATTTAATTCCGAAAATTCTGGAAATGCCGGGAAGAAAGTCAAATGGAACGGAAATTCCAGGTAAGGAATTTCCGCAAATTTCGATATACCTCACAAGGGTTGTCCTCTTTTCAGGAAAATGCCGGAAAATACTGTTCCATTCGACACTGGAAATTTCCGAAATTCAAACCGGAGTTTTGGGTTGAATTGAAAGTGCCCCTTATGTATAGACCGCTATTAATTACGTGCATTCCGTGAAATTAACACGTTACTCCAACTTTGCTAGAAGGGCATTTTTGTGCGTGAAAAAGAAGTGCAAGGCTTTCTTGTAAACGCGCTTTTTTTCAGTTTGAAACACGTATTAAAAGAAAGATGTACAGAAGTTACATTTTCTAAGCAGTGGTTTTGAGATGATTTGACGACTCAGGGGCGACATATGCCCCACTTCGAGCGGTTTCTGATGCAAATGTTCAACTCATCTTCGTAAACGACGCGTTGCCCAGCAACGTGAGGTGCTGCCAAGACTATATTAAATTTTGTAAAGACACCAAAAACATTATTTTTAAGAGAGCTTTAGAACATCTGGCATAATTTTAATTATTTATTTATTCATTTATTTATTTTAGCATATCTTAAAACACAATTTTATCTCGTTTACATATAGATATAAATTTTTTGATATCTTTTAACCTTTTTACAATTGTAAATTAGTTAGCATCGGGCAGGCGAAGAGCCACCCTGTGGATATACTGCCCGAAATGCTATTATTATTATTATTATTATTATTATTATTATTATTAGTTTATTCTTACACCAGCCATGATTTTTACCTTAGGATACATCTGGTAGGCGACTTGATATCGTATGATAAATTCTAGTAAAAAAATTATGATAATGAAACTGTAAAAGTAGTATGATGGTGATCTAAATAAACAGAAATGAACGAGGCAAATTGTCAGTAAAGGAACGAACAAACACTGAAGTAGGCAGTATACTTCATCAATGTTTCGTCGTCGGGAAAAAGGAAAGTTCATTCATTAAATGCAGCAAATACATTATGTATGTCACAGACAATGTCACAAACTTTGGTCGCTTCTGACGTTCTTCTGAAAGCAAATGCCGTTGCTAAGGTGTGAAAATGTATTTGTAAAAGTGCAATGAGGAAACGGTATAAAGTTAAACAAGAACGGAAAATATTAACAATAACTCACAACACCAATGTCACTTGCTAAAAAACTTAGATTTGTTCACTTGCGGATTACTGACCAGAATCAAGAGCGAACATACGACCAACAAAACAGATCACGAGGAAAGCCTCCACGGTAACGAGTTTTTGAGTTTTTACTTTCACAGTCAGCGGTCCGGAGCAAATTTCATCATAACTCTCAGTTTTCGTATTTGTCTAGTGACCTACGATCAGGTGTTCTTATTCTGCCATGCACAATAGAACGCCTGATCGAAAGTTATTTATCCAGCAAAAATTGTGATTATACACTTGTAAGTGAAAATGACAACCCCTCTTAACTCTTGACACGTGAATATCATTTCACTTGTCAAATCAACATCAAAAGGCACAGCATGTCAAGAAATGGTTGGAGAAACTTTGCCATCGGATGATAAATATGATTGATTATCATTTTAAAAAGACTGAAGTCAGTGACGTCACAGTTTTATCAAAAACATGCCGATCGCAACGCTCTTCATTACCAGTAGACAAGGGCGCTGGTTCAGGGTTTAAGTGCAGAAGGAGCGAGACGAAGATTTCTCATCAAGGTAAGCAAATGCTTGTAAAGAAAGTTTCAAGCAAGTAACATCTAAGCTTACTTTTTGGAAACCGGTTTTTTTTTATATATTTATATATATGATCCTGACCGATAGGCCAGCATTTCTAATTTTGGTCATGCGGGATTCCGGAGAGCCTCAGAGTTTTCAGCCGTAAGACCGCTAAGTACCACGCTTTTTAAGCCTCCCTGGTTAGGCCCCGGCTAAACGATCACAACATTTCAACGCAGCATAACGTAACTTATGAAATCATCGGCGTTAAACAAAGTTCATTTATTTATCTATAAAACCAGCTTCTGCCAATGTCTTGTCATGACAAATCCTCCTTGCGAATCCTCCCTTACCAATCCTTACATCCATTGTGAACAACGTAACAAAGAATATGTTGGCGAAACTTCTAGTTTACTAAAAAGTAGGGTAATGGAACATCTTTCGAGGAATTCGTCAGATGTTCACGAACATTGCCGGCTCACGGGACATTCAGTGGATTCTAGCAAAACAAACGTTCTTGCCACGAAAAGAAACACGCTCAAACGTCGCATAAGGGAGGTAATTGAGATCCGATTACATCAAGTGCTCTTTGAACAGAGACAATGCCTTCGAATTAGCCAACATCTATGACACAATTTTAGCCCCCTCAAGACCATAACACCGGAACATCATTTAGCCGTTCTTAACATTCACATTTTTATTGTGGCTGAAGTTTAATAAGATGTTTAATTGCTTTCTGAGTACAGAAATTATTTTTTTATATATTTTAATCATTATTCCAGAGACAGCAGGAACACAATATCCTTGAGGCAATAATCTTGTTAAGTATAGCGTGTATATTCGCAATCGACGTTTTAAAGACAAACAAGGGATTCATGTATGTTTTTCCTCAGTTTAGCGATGCATGTGCATATATCTCACATAGATACATAATACATGCACTGGTATGCGGGGGACGTGGTCTATGCCTAATTCTGTGCATGTGTTACACGTACAACTACTGGCCTGCTAATGAGTTTCTATCTATGTATACCACACTGATCCGTTCCTTGCTTTGTTTTTCAGCTTTAAAGCTGCCAGGTGTCGTACATCGAGGCTGAAGTCAAGATGAAATCTCACATCATTCTTATTGCAGCACTTGTTTTCTTGACCATGTTAGATATTGGGTGAGTGGATACGCATCTGACAGAACTACTAAGAATGACAGTAGGAGATTTTTGAATGACTGCAAGCCCCCTGACCATAAGATTTATGATTTTTCATTGGAAACTTCCACCAGAATGGTACAAGCAAATAAATCGTCATTGAAATTTGATACACAGAAGTGCGTCGAAAAGAGCTTGAAAAAAACATTCCAGGGCTGATGGGGGATTTTTTTTGGGGGGGNGGCAGTAAATATTGACCAATCAACATTGGATTTCTGATCAAAATTTCCATTTAAAAGTGAGGTATTTAGATCAGCTCAACGAAGTGGCTTGTGAAAATCCTACTTAAAACATTAGTCAGAACTATGGAGGTAACGGCGGTAGCGAGAATCGTTACATTGATGTCAGATGATATTTTTCTTTTTCAGTGAGTCAGGCTATGGCTATGGCTATGGCTATCATGGGCATGGCCACGGATATGGCGGCTATCGTAATCGCAATAGGTACCATCATGGTTATTACGGCAAAAGAGGTATGAAGAAGATAGCCAGTCGCCAGCGAGCCAATAACGTCCACACAGAGTTAAACGACGACCCCAAAATAGAGCATCTCAAATAAAACTTCGCTGAAGTCGAGCATCAAAAAGCCTAGTTAAAAGCTACACGTTAATAATCCACGCTTGTTTTTGTGAATTTGGTGCCCTTTCTAAATTTAGTGGTGGGTTAGATCCTAGCAAGAGAGTTATCTTACAAGAATAAAAATAAGGCAGTCACAACAATGTAAAGAAACAATAGCTAGTCTAGGGCCATCCCCTTTTTTTTACTCTGTTTAGCGTCGTCCGACCGACCCAGATTTTCGCGTTTTCAAAAAAAACAAAAAAAGGTACACAGAAGGCAATGAAGGTAATGACACATTATTTCAAACAATTGTCACTTTAATCTGAAACATAAGCAATTTTTTGCCTCACAGATTTTTAGTTTTTCCCTGTTCTCGTTTGATTTTAACGACGTCGACTTTTTCCTTTCTCCATTGCCGCGATGACTTTGTAACCACACCTTGTTGTTTCCAGGCTCCACGGATATTATGCTGAGGTACCGGGCCTCCTAGCTCCAGACTCCTTTTCCAATTTTTTTTTTT